AAAACACTGTTAAACAAATAGACCAATGGAATAAAAGCACCTTAAAAACAAAAACTGTAGGGCTGGAGATGTGGCTCAAGCGGTAGCACACTCACCTGGCATGCGTGTGGCCCGGGTTCGATACTCAGCACCACATACAAAGATGTTGTGTCTGCCAAAAACTAGGAAATAAATATTTTAAAAAATTCTCTCTCTCTCTCTCTCACTCTCTCTTAAAAAAAACAAACAAAAAAAACGAAACTGTAGCTGACAGAGGTTGTGCTGTAATTTAAATGGGTTATCTGACAAACTGTGCAGAAGGCATACAGCTTATTTATGTGAAAAAAATAAAATTATGTTCCTTATAACAGAGACAAAAATAAACATAAAGGGATTAGAGAAATGTATAAAAAATTGTAAAAACTGTTAGAAAAAACATGACAGAACTTTTATGACTTTAAAGGCAGGATTTTAAAATAATTTTTAAAACACAAAAGACCAAAGAAAGAGCAAAAAAAGTGAAAAGACAAACTAGAGAGTAGTAGAAGAGATGTGCAATGCAAATAACTGACAAAGACTACCAAGAATATTTATACAACAAAAGGCAATTGAATGTGTGACGCTTTGGGCTGGGGATGTGGCTCAAGCGGTAGCGCGCTCGCCTACAGAGATGTTGTGTCCGCCAAGAACTAAAAAATAAATATTAAAAAATTCTCTCTCTCTCTCTTAAAAAAAAAAAAAAAAAGGCAATAAACCTAACAGAGCAGTGGCAGATTACAAGAGAAATCCCAAATGGCCAAAAAATATACAAAAACACACTCTTATTACTGATAAGGGAAATGCAAATTGCTAAACCACTGAGATCTCATTTCAAAGGCTGGCAAAAACTTTAAAGCCTGAGAACACCAGGATGGGGAGAAGAGAGAAGTTCAAACTCCTGGTGAGAAAATAAATGAAGTAACCACTTGAATTGAAGATGCTTATATCTTACAATGCAACAATTCCACTTTTGTTTTTTTGGGTTTTTAAAAAAATATATTTTTAGTTGTAGATGGATACAATATCTTTATTTATTTCTTTTTATGTGGTGCTGAGGATCGAACCCAGAGCGTCACACATTCCAGGCAAGCGCTCTACCACTAAGCCACAACACCAGCCCAACAATTCCACTTTTGGTAAACAACACATTGAAACTTTTATTCATGTGCAGGATAGACAGGTATAATAAGAATTTTGCTGCAAAATGGTTTATAAGAGCAGAAAAATTAAGAAATTGTATATCCATCAATAGAAAAATGAGTGAACTGCAATACAAAAATGAGTAAATAGACGAGCACACCACTGCAGTTGAAAATGAACAAATGAGCAGTACACATACTGATGTATAGTCTCAAAAACATAAACTTGAGTGAAAAAAGCAAGCTACAGAATGATCCCACTTTACATGTATTTTTAAAACTCGCAAACCAGCAAGTTTTATGGACATAAACATTCAGTAAGGACATAAAAATATTTGGGAGAATGATAAATATCCTATTTATGAGAAGGGTTATCATAAATAGGGCATAAACAGGGCACGGAGATGGGAAAGGAATGAGAGAAAAGAGAACAGAAGAGTCATCAAGTATATCTTTCATTCATGGATAGACACAGATATGATATAGGCATTTATGTATGGACATAGCTATAGATGTATTTGACATAACACTTCAAGATGGTTGGGTTATGAGTACATGGGTATTTACTTTTCTATACTTCTATATATTTGAAATATTTTATAATACAAACTTCCTTAAAAGAAAATGCATTTTTTTAAAAAATGAACTAGACACACATCTGTAATTCCAGCAGCTTGGGAGGCTGAGGCAGGAGGATTGTAAGTTCATAGCCAGCCTCAGCAATTTAGCAAGGCTGTAAGCAACTCAGCAAGACCTTGTCTCAAATTAAAAATAAAAAAGGGCTGGGGATGTGGCTCAGTGGTTAAATGCCCCTGGGTTCAATCCTGGTACCAAAAAAACAAAAACAAACAAACAAAAAAACTAGAGTTGTGGTATTAACATAATTACATGTCAAAAACAAAATGGTGAGTTAAAAAAAACAAGCTGAAGAAATACACATATGATATCACTTATATACTATGTAAAACAATTTTTAGACCTATACACATATTTCTCATTGTACAGACTTTCAAGGCAATGATATACTCTAGGATGATGGCTCTTTCTGATAGGGAGGAATAGGGAGGGGAATACAGGAAGCTTTAGCTAAATCTGTAATATTTCTTCAAAAAGTCTGAAGCAAATATAGCATTTGTTAAAGTGTGGTATTGGGTGGTTCTTTTGAAAAATCACATGTATAATATATATTGTACATATGATATACATATCCATAGCAATAGAAGAAAAAAGAGTAAAAACAGAGCTAACATCCAAGCACTTACTATACAGTAGGCATATGTCTATGTTATTTTTCTAATCTGAAAAATAACCCAGTAACCAAACCAAACCAAAAAATACCCCAGGAGGTAGATGCTATTAATATCCCCATTTTATAGAAGAAAAACTGAAACAAAGAGAAATGAAGTTTGCTCAAGGTTATAAAACTAGTAAATCATAAAAATAAGATATGAAGCTAAGATTCCTGCTCTCTAGCTTATAGCTTAATACCTTTGTCATTACACCATTCTCTATTCTTTCACATATGTTGGAAATATTTCATTAAAATACATTTTAAACCGATGATTATACAGAAAAGCACACACACATACATGTCCATGTAACTCACACTGGTTCTAAAGATGCTAAAAGAATTTTAGGAATGTCTCAAGGAGAGCAGAATCCTGCCTGCTCTAATTTACTAATTTATATGTTTAAGGTTTGTTTTTGTTTTGAGACAGGGTCTTGCTAGCTAAATTGCCCAAGCTGGCCTGGAACTTGATTCTTCTGCCTCTGCTTCCTGAGCAGCTGGGATTACAGGTGTGTATCACCACGCTCCGCAAGGTTTGGTATTTTTAAAGTTTATTTCATAGTCAACATTATTTCTTCAATATCCCTAAGATAATATTTTTTGAATCCTAGACAACTTGTTTGGGGAAGCATTTAACGAATTCAACCATCTTTCTTTCTCAGTTGAGGCAAAATTTGATTACTTACCTTTAGGTCTGAATCATTTGAGTTTTTTAGTAAGTAACTCTGCCAAGAAATTTAATTGAATTTCAATTATTCATTTTTTTCCTGGTCTCTAAATTATGAGTTGGTTTATTTTAAAAATTCATAACTAAAATTATTAAGTGATAAAAATATAATTTGTACAGGATTTATACCACAAAGCAAATGGGAAGCTAGCATTCTCAGTCACTGAATGTAAGCACTGATAATATACTAACCCCATACTCAGTGTCCCCAATACCACTGTTACCATTTCTTAAAAATGTCTCTTTTTAACTATATACCCACTTCTCATGGCTCTCATTTACTAACCTACAGAATATATATTCAAAAAATAAAAAAGATTTTACTTGTAAAGTTCACCCTAGTATAGGAAAAAGACAAGTAAACCAAAATTATCTATAATACATTAAGTACTTTAAAAATGTATTGAAAAGTTATTAGAGAAACTTAGGGTTGGGAGAGTTGTGAAGGCAGCCAGTATACTTTGTGACTAGGACACCTAGATCAATAAAGAGTACTTATCCATGAAAATTTGTTTTAAAGGGGAAGAAGAGAGTAATAGCTAGAGGCATAGGTTCTAAAGAAGGATTTAAGGTGGAGGAATAAATACTCAGCATCAATTCCGGAAAGCTACTTTCCTTGACTATACGTCTCCTTTAAAACTAAATCCCAAGAGGTCACTTACTAAGCCTGAGCAAATCACTTCACATTTCTAAGCTTCAAATGAGATGATGTTCAAGAAATTTGGAGCAGGAATACCAACAAATGAATTCTGAAGTTCTTTCTAGATCTAAAGTTCCATGACTAACAGAGGATCTGAAATCTTTAAACCTAAAAGTACATTATAAAATCTCCAATATCCAAGAAAAAAACAAGACCACAAGAGTTTATATAATTGATTTCTATTATTTTTGAAAAATTATAACAATTATTTCCTTATCTGATCAGTAAAATTTCCATCAAAGATGGTGCCTTCTTTTTTGGTGTGTATGGTGCTGGGAATTGAACCCAGGGGCCTTGCGTGTGACAGGCAAGCACTCTATCTACTGAGCTATATCCCTAGCCCAAGATAGTGCCTTCTTATCAGAGTTGGTACAATATTTCTCCCCCACAAATGTGGACTTCTAATTTTTTTTTTTTTTTTTGGACAAGGGATTGAACCCAGAGGCGCTTAACCAGTGGAGCCATATCCCCAGAGCCCTCCACTGCACCCCTGCAGCTTTTTGGTACTAGGGATTGAACCCAGGGGTTCTCCACCACTAACCCACATCCCCAGCCTTTTTTGAGTCAGGGTCTTGCTAAGTTGCTGAAGCTGGTTTTTAACTTATGATCCTCCTGCCTCAGCCTCCCAAGCCACTGGGATTACAGGAATGTACCACAGTGCCTGGCTAAACCTGGACTTCTAAAGAATCAATACACACAACTGTTTTACAATAATGGAAATAGATCTCTTAAAAGCCCATAGTTTAGGAGCTAGGGCTGTGGCTCAGTGGCAGAGTTCTTGCCTAGCACGTGTGAGGTACTGGGTTTGATCCTCAGCACCACATAAAAAATAAATACATAAAATAAAGATATTGTGTCCATCTACAACTAAAAAAAAAAAAAGTTAAAAAAAGCCCTTAGCTTAGAAATGTAAATCATCTTTTAAAATGAAGATGTCTATGCAAACATGCATATTATGTATTTACAATATATTTGTTAATTATCTCCATTTTAAATTTCAAAATGTATACCACAATGAAACTCATTATTCCTTATAATTAAAATAGACTAGTAAAAAAATAAGTTGAAGATTCATGATGAGTTTTTAAGAAACAGCCAAATTAGCTCTTCATAGTAACATGCCTTCTTCTTACTTTTACTATTACACATTCTGAAATTTATAACAAGGTTTCCCTTACCTGATATGGACAAGGAATGTGATATTCTCTGCAGCGTTCTTGTATCCATGTTGTTTCCCAGATGCCACGGTAAGCTTGCTCATAAAAGTAGCATCCAATTACAACCAAGAGTGGTACCAGATAAAGAATGCTGAAAACACCAATCCGGATCATAAACTTCACTAATTTATCTTGGTTCTCCTTTTCTAATGGAATCTCAATTCGAACTCTGTTCAGAGATATAATGCCAGCTAAAAGGAGAGAAACCCCAACCACCACATACAGGCAGAGGGGAGCAAGAACAAAATATCTCAATGCATCAACATCGTAGAGGCCAACAAAACACACGCCACTAATATTGTCACCTTCAATTTTATTCATCGCTAAAAGGATGATAGTCAGAGTTCCAGGAATGCCCCATGCACTGGCATGAAATAGCAGTGCTTTCTTCTCGATGGCTTCACTACCCCACTTTGGCACAGCTGCTAAAAACCATGTGATGGTAAGAATTACCCACCACACACTGCCAGCCATTGTGAAAAAATAGAGTACCATAAAAAGCATGGTACAGGCTTTATTATGAGATCCTTGTGTCACTGTGGAAGCCTTATACTGTGCAGGACTGGATGCATTGCAGGCTACTCGGTCCTCAAGCAAAAACCCAATGAAGAAAATTAATGATACCATCATGTAGCAGACTGCATAAAATATAATAGGTCTTTCAGGATAGCGGAATCTTGTGACATCAATCAAAAAAGTTAAAAAAGTAAACAACGTTGCAGAGAGGCAAATGATTGAAATCAATCCTATGAAATAGCGGGCAAACGACAGTTCTTCTCTCCTGAAGTACATATTTGGACAAGGAGGTGAACAATCACGCACGTGTAAAAAAGAATAACCAAGATCAGGATCAATTTTCAACTCCCGGGGACACCAAAAACCATAATCTCTCTGCACTGCCACTGGAGCTCCTTCAGTTGGATCTCCATCTAGATTCAGATCCACAAGTCGAGGATATGGCTCATCACAATCTGGAAACCTAAAAAAACACAAGATGAGAACCAATTTTATTTACAGGGAAATGTACTGCCTCCTAACAATTTGGATTTCCAAATTTAGAACCCATGACTTAGTTATTCCTATGTCCTTGGAGGGCAATTGTGGAAGTATCAATAAAGTAAATGGTGGTTATCTTGTTCATGGACCAATGAATCAGACATACCTGACCGCCCCCCCCCACAAAAAAAGACATGATTTTAAACTTAAATTTGTTTTACCTTCAAAATCAGTACTAATAAACAGCAAAATGCAGCTATATTATGAATAGTACAGAGTATTTAGGACACAGTTAAGACTGAATGATTGGCAAGTTTGGGGCCATCCTGGGCAATTCACAAAGACCCTGTTTCAAAATAAATAAAAAGGCTGGGCATAATGGTGCATGCCTGTAATTTCAGAGGCTCAGAATGCTGAGGCAGGAGGACTGCAAGTTCAAAGCCAATCTCAGAAGTTTAGCAACACCATAAGCAACTCAGCAAGACCCTGTCTCTAAATAAAATATTTTTTAAAAAAGGGCTGGGGATGTGGCTCAGTGGTTAAGCATCCCTAAAGTTAATCCCTGGTACAAAAAATTAAAAATACATAAATAAATAGAAATTAAAAGGGCTGGGGATGTAGCTCAGTGGTAGAGTGCTTGCCTACTACATGTGAGGCCCTGGGATCAATCCCCAGTTTAAAAAAAAAGAAAGAAAGAAAGAAAGAAAAAAATCCTTGCAAGTGGTTAAGTTTTTAGATCTTCTCTTTCCATTTCACATTCACTCTCTGCTTATCCTATTAACTAATTAAAGGGCTTCTAAGGTCTCTAATGTCACCTAGTTCTTTCCTACCATCCCCGATTTCTCCCTAATCCCCTGTAGTCTCTAATTCAGTTATTTTCACACTTCTATGCATATAAGAAAAACTTGGGGATTTTTAAAAATGCAAATTCTTAATCTCTACCACCACAAATCATATTTCAGAATGCTTGTGATTAAGGTTCAGAAATCTATATTTTAATAAGTTTTCAAAGAAAAATGATCCACACACTTGATCCTCACACTGGCTGACAGACAAAACTTCTGTGACTAAGGACAACATTCCCATGAATTCCCTTCCTCTTCAAATTTTTTTGCCTTCAGACTCCCAATTACTGGCGATTTACTGTCTCATATGCATCAAATAGTTTCCAAGAAACTGTCACTAATGTAAAGTTTGGCAAATACTTTCATAATCATTGTTGATTAACATCTTAAAATCCTTTATTTTCTAATACAAACTATTTTCTTTTAAAAAAAATTTTTTTTTGTAGTTGTACACAATAAGTTTTATTTATTTTTATGTGGTGCTGGGGATCGAACCCAGGGCCCTGCACATGCGAGGTGAGTGCTCTACCGCTGAGCCACAACTTCAGCCCCACAAACTATTTTTTTCATGGGACTTGGAATTATAGGGTAATATTACAGAAGTTTGTTGTATCAAGTATATATTGATGTAGTATGCTGTAGCTAAGATAAACAAAACCAGGCCCTCCATCTTTGAGTTTAGAAAGAGACACAAACTTATATAAACACCACAAAATATACCAGTGTAATACATGAGATAATCAAAATCTATAGGATGTATAGAAGACCAGGATTAATTGGATCAGGGGAAAGGGTTTAATTAAAGACTTCAGAGAGCAAGTACCTCATGCAGGCTTTTGAATTAGCACCTCCCAGTATCAACAGCATGCCAATCAGTATTCTAGGAAGCAAATGCAAGCAAAGGAATGGATGCTTGACCAGGATGTGTTTTGTATCAATGAATGGCTTGTTACAGATGAGGTTAGAGAGGTATGCACATTGTAAAAATATGTGTGTATGCATGCTGATATAAAATTTACAACCATACAAAGTAAAGCTATTTATTTTCTACAGGTATATTTGTATCCACAAATGGTCAAGGAAATATATAAACTAGGACATCTCATAGGCACCTCAATCTTTAACCCTTCTAATATCAAACACTTGACTTCCATGCCTCAGGTTTCCTCATCCACAGTAAGTGGTGATTCCATTTTTCCTGTTGCCTTGGGGTTATCCTCGAAGTCCCTTCTTTCATTTACGTCACAATCTACCAGTAATTTCTGTCACTACTTTGCAATATATCCAGAATCTGACCAGTTCTCTTGTCCTCCACTGCTACTACCTAGTCTGAGACATCAGTACCACTTACTTAGACTTCTGGGGGCCATGTCCAAATTCCTCATTTCTACATGACAGCCAGAGCAAAATTTTTTTTTCTTTATTGACAGTGCTGAGGATCAAACCCAGGGCCTCCAGCATACTAGGTGAGTGTCTACCACTGAGTTGCATCCCCAGCCCCAGAGTGAACCTTTAAAGAAAAGCAACTTAAAAGTCCATAATCATGACTCTTCTGCTCAAAACCTCCTGGTTTCTCATCTCATTCAGAGTCAAATCCAAATTCCCTAGCAGCTATTATAGATCCTTAATCCCCAAACTTCTGATCTTATTTCCTTCCATTCTCCCTCACTCACCTGGCTCCAGCCTCTTTGGTCTTCTATTCTCTGAATTTTCTAAGCATGCTTCCAACTTCAGAGCCTCTGCACTTGCTACTGTTTCCTCTGCTCAGACTGTCAGATATCTGTATCATTTGTTCTCTCATTCATTTAGGTCCTTGGTCTAAAGCCTCCTTATCATAAGGCCTTCCCCTGAAGTCTACTTACCAACACCACCAGAATTTTAGCTCCATAAATACAGGGACTTAATTTTTGTTCATGGCTAATTTTCAACATTAGAATAGTGTCTGGCACACCAAGACATTCACTTAATATTTGTTGCACTAATGACATTAATTGAATATATTCATATAACCCTAATGCAAGTAATCAAAAAGATAACTAGGAGGAGTAAGGAAGACAGATTTGAGCTATATGAAAAAGGGGGCAGGGAGATCAGTTAGAATAGAATGAATTTTTAAAATAAACTAAAACAAATAAAGCCAGAAAAGTAATGAGAATAAGATATATGAAAACAGATAAAAGCAACAAAATTTATAACTGATTACATGTGGGGGTTGAAGTCAATGAAGGAAGAACAGAAAATGACTTCCAGGTTATTAAAAACAAAAAAGTGCCCAGAAATAAAATTTCAGGCATGCTGAAATGGAGATATGAGGCAAATTTGGATTACGATTTGCAACTGCTGATGGATATGCAAGTTTGGAACTTAGGAGGGAGACATCACGGTTACAGATACAGGTTTAAGAGTCAACAGCATACAAATAAAAGTTTAAAATTAGTGAAATTAGTTTCCAGAGAAAGCTGTAGAATCAAATAAAACAAGAGATAAAATTTGGGAAGCACCAATGTGCAAGTGACAGAAAGAGGAAGAAGATATAAGAAAGAAATTGAGAAGGACTCGTTTGAGATATAGCAGATCACACAAGATGGTCTAAATAATTTTCAGGAAAGCAGGATAGGCAGAGGTTGAGGGGAAGAAAGGTGAGATATGGGCTTGAAGTAAGCAATATAGATTTGGCACAGGTGTTAGAGGGGAAATGAACAGAAATTTTACAGACAAAGAGATATAGCTACAAAAATCAAATAGAATTGCTGTGGCTTGAGAATCATTAAGTAGATATCATAATTAACTTATAAAAATTGATTAGATCAGTCCATTTCCATATCTGAACAATCTCAAATGGAAAGAATGAGCTGAAATTGCAAACAAAAGTGCTATTTCAATATACAGATGACAAAGTTTAAGTGAAATAAAGAAATGAATGAGATTAGGAAGGACGCTATTTAGAATAAAAAATAAAAAGTCTGAGAATGTCCATAAAATTGAAGAATGGTGCTATGGCCTAAATGTCTCCCCAAAATCATGCACTGAAACTTAAACCCCACTGAGGTGGAGCCTTTGGGGGAAGTGATTAAGTCACAAAGGCAGAGCCCTCATGGATTCATGCCCTCAAAAAAAAAAGTTTGCCCCTCTTGCTCTGTTGACCTGCCATACCAGCACACCAGCTATTGCTAGATCACAAACACAATTACTTTTAAAAATGAAAGAGAAATCAGTATTGCTCTTAACAAAAACCTGGGAACAACACAAATGACAACAGGTGGCTAAATAGCTACAGTATATTACAAAGTCAACTATAGAATATTAGCTTTTAATTAGCTGTTAAGAGGAATGAACCAGACCAACAGATACAGATAGATACATGAAAAAAAAAAAAAAAGTATGTTGTTTGTGGATAGGTATATAATGTACTAAGTATAAAACCAAACGTAGAAATGCTTAACAACAAATTCACCCCTGGGAAGGAAGAAGGGTATGAGGTCAAGAGAATTACCAATAAAGAACCTCCAAATGTACCTACACTGTTTAACTTCTTAAATCTGAAATAAACATTACAAAATGTTAATACTGGACAAAGTTAGATAATCACAGGTACATAGGATTTCATCTTATTATTTTTTATACTTGAACTATTTCAGAATACAACAGGATACAACATTGTTCTAATGTTTACTCATACAAAACTATAAGAATGTTTAATAATCCTCAAATGTTTAGAAAATGCTTAGAAACACACTGCTGCATAATAACCAATGGAAGTCTATGATTTTCTTTCTTTTTTTTTAAATTTATTTATTTATTTATTTTTAGTTTTCAGTGAACACAGCATCTTTGTTTTTATGTGGTGCTGAGGATCGAACCTGGGCCTCACGCACGCCAGGCGAGCGCGCGCTACCGCTTGAGCCACATCCCCAGCCCTCTATGATTTTCATACCTGCTGCATTCCATATCTTCAGGCCAAGGGACACCAAACATCTCCATGAGCTTCGAACACTCACTATAGGCCCGCTGACACAGCCTACGACAGGGAAGTGTGACACGTCCATATTCCATACAAATAGGAGCATAGAGTGCACAGAGAAATGGCCGGAAATCCCGAGAACAATCCAGATTCACCATTGGGTGGAATGGCTATGAAAATAAAATTGAATAATTAGATAAAGAACTGTATAGAAGTTAAAGCTTTTATAATATTTCAACTTTCATTTTTACTCATCTTGAAAAAAAGATTATTAAAAACTTCTAAAGAGGAGTTTTGATTTTGTTTAAATAAAACCCTTTTAACTCTACCCCTGAAAATTCTGATTTGGTTAAGTCTGAGGTATACACCAGAATATATTTTTCAATTAATATACATTAAATGGAAAGAGAGGACAAGCACTAAAAGAAGAAAAAAGAGGGAAAAGGCAAGAAGTTATACACAGTGTTTATTTGCGATCCTCCTGCAGCCTCCTGAGTCACTGAGATTATTAGCATGCACCACGCCTGACTTAACTTAAAATTTATCAAAGATTTCATTATGAAACTATAAAAATTTTTTTAAAAAAGAGAAAATCTTCAAGACCTAGGGGAAGGTGAAGGGTTCTTAGAAATGAAACCAAAACCATAATTCATAATTTAAAAACAAATTTGGTAGACTGGACTTCATTAGAATTGAAAACTTTTATTCTCCTAAAGACCATGTTAAAAGGATGAAAAGGCAAGTTATGAACTGGAATAAACTATTTCCAAATCTTATATGATATCAAAGATTTGTATACAGAATATATAAAGAACCCTCAAGACTCAAATTAAAAAAAAAAAAAAAGATCCACTTGGAAAATGAGTAAAAGATGGATATATGAATGACATATAAACACCTAGATATGTTCAATATCATTAGACATTAGAATAATGCAAATTAAAACCACATGATATATTATTACAGAGGAAATTTTTAAAAATTAGTTATAATACCAAATAGTGGAAAGAAAGCAGATCTCTCATATATTACTGATGGGAATGTAAAATGTTATGACCACTATGGAACACAGTTAAAACAATTTCTTAAAAACCCAAACATATGCTTACCATACAATCCACCAATCACATTCCTGATCATTTCCCAGAGAAATGAAAAGTTATGTTCATACAAAAACCTGTCCACAAATATTCATTGCAGCTTTATTTGTAATAGCAAACTGCTAGAAACAACCCAAGTGTCCTTCAGTGGGTAAATGGTTAAACTAATTGTGGCACATCTGTAAAATGGAATATTATTCAGCAATTAAAAGCAAAAACTTGAGACATGTGACAACTTGAATGGATATAAAAAGCATTATACTAAGAGAAAGAAGCCAATCTCAAAAGACATCCTTTGAATATGATCTCCAAAAAGCATGCTAGAAAATTATCATTGTTACAGGATTAAGACATGGGCCTTTTAAGAGGTGAGTAGGCTCTGCACGTTCTGCCCTCATGAAAGGATTTATGCTGTTACTGTTAAGTTATTGCAGGACTGGTTCCTTATAAAAGAATGAGTTTGACCCCCTTTCACAAATACGTGTGTACCTGTTCTCTCACTGCCCCTTTTTGACCTTCCACTTCTGCCGTGGCATAAACATAGCAAGAAGACTCTCACCAGATGTCAGCACATTGATCTTGGACTTCCCAGACTCCAGGACCATGAAAAAATAAATTCTTCTTTATAAATTACTCAGCCTCTGTTATAGCAGCACAAAATGGCCCAAGACACAAGTATACAACATTCTTGATATGACAAAATTTAGAGAGGAAGAACAGATTAGTGGTTGATGGGATTAGGAAAGGGGAAGAAAAAAGAGGAAGCACGAGAGTGTTCCTTGGAGGTGACAGAACACTCTGTATCTTTATTACAGCAGTAGCTACAGAAATCTATGCATGTGCTAAAATGATAATGACCAGAACTGTACATGTACACACACACGCACACACACAATTATACACAGACAATAAAAACACCTAAAAACTGATGAAATGCGATAAGGTCTATAAACAGAATCAATTTCCTGGTTTTGATGGTATATTATAGTTACATAAAATGGTAAGAATGGGGCAGGAAACAGACAAGGGTACAGAGAATGTCTGTACTATTTTTGAAACTTCTGGTGAATCCAAAATTATTTCAAAATCAAAAGTTGAAGAGACATTACATTCACATGCTGATATATGTACATAATTCATTTACTTATGCACATGAATGATTTCAGTCTTCAACTTGTTTGGTACTACCAATTTGTAAAATATCAAACAATAAGATATCATGATGTTAATATGTTAACCAAACTTCCATCTGGGAACCCCATCATGAATTACAAAATTGCCATAAATGACTATTTTGTGCTGCATGCACTGAGCCTAAAGCTACGAGTTTATGCTTTTGCTAATTACTAGCTTAAAGTACTTTGGGCTGTATCTTAGCATTTACTGACACTGTAGGACAGGAATTGCTGAAAAAGCCTTATACGCTTACCTCATTTCAAATCAATCAGCTAAAGTTCTCTTTTTCTTACAATTCCATAAGGGATACTATTAAAACTAATCTCATTCTATGATACACATGTAGAAAATAAGGCATAGAAACTTTGGCATTCTTATCCAGTCCTTATACTTAACCAATTTGTTCTACTTAACTTACATTTTAGTTTTCTCTTAAAAAGCAAAACAAAACATAAACCTCAAAATCGTAATGCTGGGTAAAAGAAACCAGACAAAAATGTAGATGCTATAATTCCATTTATATAAAACTCTAGAAAATGAAAACTAATTCATAATGACAGAAAACAGATCACTGATTTGCTTTGGAACAGTGAGCAGAAAGAAGGATGGACTACAAAGGAACATAAGGAAGCTTTTGACGTGGCAGAAATGTTCTGTACTTTGTGGTGGTGGTATCACATGCTTGGTCAAAAACTCATGGAAGTGAACACTTTAAGAGTGCAGCTTATCATGTACACACCTCAACAAAGCTGTATATAAAAACAAATCAAAATTAATACTTTTCAAATAAGCAAATTGCCTTGATTTTAACTTTACCAACAATTTTAAACCACAACAAAATCAAAATTAAATTGGTAACCTGGACACTTAAAAGTCAATAACAAGTACATAACATAAAGAATACTATTAAAGTTCTATGAAGTAGAAGAGAACTTTAGCTGATTGAATTTTAAAGGTTCTTACTATTTCCCTAAACAGTAATACTTTTGTTCAATAAATCAAGACCAGGGTATAAGAAGTTTACAAACTAGAAAGTAACTTTCTAAAATTAAATTTCTGGTTTCTACAACAAAGGTGCACTACATGGAACCTTGCATTCTTTGTTCAAATTCAAATCAACCAAGCCTTTGTGCTCCCATTCATTCTTCTTTCAAATTTCCATTCCTGTTACCATAGAAACCTGCTAGCTGACAAACCTCCAAGCATAGCAACAACCCAAGCTTAGGAAGGGGTGTGAAAAGGGGACAGAGTCAAAGGCCAAAATTTGACTCAAGAGAATCAGAATTCCAACCTTTGTCACTTTACAAAGGGTATGGTAACCATGGAAACTGCACCCTACTGAGTTTGGGAATATTATGACTAAATTCACTAACTGAGAAATCGAATGTGGAATTGCCTTGAAAATTAAAAAATGGTATTCATAGCTATTTCAGATTCAAATTAGAGTAAGAAATTATTTGAAAACAACTTTTTAGAATGACTTTAAGCAAATAAAATAAAAGCTTAAAAACTCCCTTTCTGGAACAATAGTCTCTAATGAAAAAAGGTCTAAAACTTTATTACTTTGCATCTACAAAATAATCCTCTAATCTTAGAATTTTTTTTCCTAACCTTAATTTTTAAGTGTCCTATGACAGTGTGTAAGTACTTTCCAAAAGTCTTTCAGTGAGTTGGTTTGTAGAATTCACCACTATCACAGGAACTATTCACCTTCATACTCAGTCCATAAATTTGACTTTTTTTAGGAAGTAAACTTTTAATATTTCCAATATCATGGAGAATCCTAAATTATGGCATGTCTTTTTTTTTATATAGATTTATCCCCAGCCCATTATTTAATCAATTAATAGGTTTATTTTTTTTAAGAGAGAGAGAGAGAATTTTAATATTTATTTTTTAGTTTTTCGGCAGACACAACATCTTTGTTTGTATATGGTGCTGAGGATCGAACCTGGGCCACACGCATGCCAGGCGAGCACGCTACCGCTTGAGTCACATCCCCAGCCCATATGGCATGTCTTAAAAATAAAACTTTGCAAACCGAATTTCACTACTTCTAATAATTTAATTTAAAACAAGTATTTTTGCTGGAGACAGTGGTATATATCTATAATCCCACAGTCTCAGGAGGCTGAGTCAGGAAGATCCCAAGGTCAAGGGCAGCTTCAGCAACTCAGCAAAACCCTCATCAACTTAGCATGACACCATTTCAAAATAAAAAAATAAATAGTGCTGGGGATGTAGCTGAGTGGTTAAGTAAAGCACCCCTGGATTTGATACCCAGTACCAATAAAGATAAAAATAAATTAAAAATAAGGAAAATTTTTTTTAATATTTTTTATTTTTTAGTTGTAGTTGGACACAATACCTTTATTTCACTTGTTTATTTTTGTATGTGGTGCTGAGGATCAAACCCAGGGTCTCGCACGTGCGAGGCAAGCGCTCTACCACTGAGCCACAATCCCAGCCCAGGCAAATTATTTTTAAGGTAATTCCTTTAAACTGATTTGTCACACTAAAAAAATGAATAAAAATGTTCAAAAGCTGATTTTTTTCCCCCCTAAAATCAGGTGCAAATAATTCTCCACTACTTGTGGAGTACATTTTTTCAATTTAGAAACAACTTCATTCTGGTTGGTTTACTCTGATCACAAAACAGGCTTCTAAAGACCCTTCAGAGTTAAGGAATGTAGCTCAGAGATAGAGTGCTTGCCCAGAATGCTCAGTATACCCAGAATTATTGTTACACGAGGTACATTATACTAGTCTCTTAAAAAATAAACAACAAACCCTATCTGAATTTTAAAGTCCAATTGACCATCTACAACTTAAAGCCTCCACATGATCCTTCTCTTTGAAAGCACTTCATGCCTTTTTTTTTTAATATTTTTTTTTTTAGAGAGAGAGAATTTTTTAATATTTATTTTTCAGTTTTTGGCGGACACAACATCCTTGTTTGTATGTGGTGCTGAGGATTGAGCCCACTTCATGCCTTTTGTAACACCAAGTTCTTCCTTACACTACAGTCATTCAATCAAAATATATTTAATGAATACTATGTCTTAGGCGCTGCCCTGAAAGAGGAACAAAACAGGACAGTTCAAATTTTTAAAACTAAAACGTCCTTACTAATATTAGTGTTTTAAAAGCACAATGTATGGGCTAGGGGTGAAATTAAGTATAGAGCACATGTTTATTAGCCTGTACTAGGCCCTTGGTTCAATCTCCAGCACCAGCTGTGTAGTGGTGGGGTGGAGATGGGGAAGCACAATATGTTTCATACAGAAAAATAAGAAAAAGCCACTAGAAGGTAGGGCTGTAACTCAGTGGTAGAGCATTTGCCTAGCATGCATGAGGCTTGGGTAAAATCTCCAATACTGAAAAATGAAAAAGAAAGAAAAAGAAAATACGAACATTAAATGAAGAACATAGCAAACACAAACTGTTAATTCAGAAATAACCACAGTTGGTCTTAATGGAAATCCTACCAGATCACTTACTCTACATGAACATGAATATACTTTTTTCAACAAAACCAGAATGATACACACACTTGGATACCCAAGTGTATGTGTGTGTGTGTGTGTGTGTGTGTGTGTGTTGGTACCAGGGACTGAACCCAGAAGCTCTTCAACACTGAGCCACATCCTCAGACCTCATTATAAAATTATTTTCAGAGAAGATCTCAATAAATTGTTTAGGACCTCTCTTAAGTTGCTGAGGCTGGCTTTGAACTTGCTATTCTCCTGCCTCAGCATCCTATACTACTGGGATTAAAGGCACCCCTAACCTGGCTACCATTGACTTTTCTTCTTATTATTATTTTTTAATATTTTTTTTAGTTGTAGATGGACATAACATTTTTATTTTTATTTATTTATTTTTATATGGTGCTGAGGATTGAATCCAGGACCTCGCGCTTGCTAGGCAAGCACTCTACCTACCACTGAGCTATAAACCCAGCCTCTACCATTGACTCTTTTTTTTTTTTTTAAGAGAATTTTAATATTTATTTTTTAGTTTTTGGCGGACACAACATCTTTGTTTGTATGTGATGCTGAGGCTCGAACCCGGGCCGCACACATGCCAGGAGAGCGCGCTACCGCTTGAGCCACATCCCCAGCCCTACCATTGACTATTTTTTTAAAAAACATTTTTTTAGTTGTAGATGGGCTCAATACCTTTATTTAGAAAATTGAACTTAGTGCCTCACACATGCAAAGTAAGCACTCTACCACTGAGCCACAACCCCAGTCCACCACTGACTCTAAACAGTGAATTGAGTACAAAAGAATTTTGACATAAGCCTAGAGAAGGGAAAATTCTGTTCTGTTGTTCCTTTATTTAATTATACCAGTTATAAATGCAAACACAATGCTGAAAGCTTCAAGTCACTTTGAAAAATAAGAAAAAGTGACATACTAGTGTTCACAAACATGTAGTAACTTAGTATTATAATAACATCACCATCCTCATCAAACTTCTATTTCTAACCCCATAAGATTAAGAGTTTAAGTATAACACAATCTTGACCACCGTCACCTCTAAAGGATTTACAGTGAAATTAATTCAAACATTTATTTAGCATCTATTATGTGTGAGGCTCTATGTTAAGCATTTACTATGTGTAAGTCTCTATATTAAATACTAGAGATAGAAAGATGAACATGGACAAGCTCTGCTTCCAAAAAGTTGAAATTCTACTAGGAAGAATAAAAATATAAAAAAATTCTAACATAATAATGCACACATCAGAACAGGGGTACATATAAAGCATACTGGTAAGTGTGGAGGAAAGAACCATAGACTTTGAACATCCTAGGTTTCAAAGAAGCAACAACAAAAACAGGTTTTGAAAAGTAAGTGAGAGATCACCAACAGGAATACTGGAATAGCTTTCATGGCAAAGACAGCATTTACAAAAACTTGGTAGGTTCAAGTAATGCTAAGACATTCTGTGCAATTGTGATGAACAGCTTCTGAAGAGAATGATAAGGCTAGGAGAAAAAGTGAGAGTTAACTTGTGAACATCTATCATGCTTTCATCTTCTGGGTAGGCACTGCTGTTTTAAAAAATAATTTTCATATATCTCATTTGGTACTTGTAATCAATTTCAATTTAATGGGTTGATACTTAACCCTATTTAACTATGTCCCACTTTCAACTCAAAGAAAGTACAGATTAGGAATCCATTTAAACAATGTGAGAAGATCCAACCTCTTGTGAATAATCAAGTCTAAAATAATTCAGATTTTATAATTTCTCTCATTCTTGGTATGCCTAGCTTACTGTTCCAGATGGGCTTAAAGCCTGGGCTTGCTAATGCTATAGCTAGGGAACTATCTTTCAGTTTATCTAGTCTCCAGTGAGCTGGGACTGTTTGCTCTAATTACTTGCTCCTGATAAAAGTTAGTAGACATATCCAAAGTTCCAAGATCAGCAGAGAGAGAGATGAAGAGGTGTCATCAGCAGCTATGCACATGTCGTGCTGTCCAAAGAGTTTCCATGTCTTTTGCTATTACAGAAACTTTACACTCTTAAACTGTTTTAGGATTCTTTTCTTCCTATCAGGGGCATCATGATCCTAATATGACAACCATGCAATAAGCAAGTATCTCCAGCACTGCTTCAAATCATTGGAAATTTTCTCTTAGAAACTACTGCCCCCTTAGGAGCTCTCCTCACACTGCAAAATCTAGTTTGAAATTCAAACAGAGGCATCCACTGCCCATAAAAAATCTAGACTTTTTTGAGCATATGTGAGAAGAGGTAGAGAACGCCTACCAGACCATCATTATGAATGCCCCATGAACCTACAACTAAAGATACAAGTTCATTTAGAAAAAGAATTTGGAATAGAATTTACATTTGCAGATCACCTATTGTGTACTATGTGTTGTGCTACTTCATAAATCACAGTTGTTATTATTGCCTTTCACATATTAAGAAAACAAGGTTCAAGAATGTTTAGTAACTTGTCCAAAGTCTTAAGCTTACTGCACAGCAGAGCTAAAAGTTGATCGCAAGTTAGTATAAAAGCTAGGGGCTAGGGTTGTGGCTCAGTAGTAGAGCTCTTGCCTAGCACGTGTGAGGCACTGGGTTCAATTCTCAGCACCGCATATAAATAAATGAATAAAATAAAGGTCTACCAACATCTAAAAAATAAATAAGAAAAAAAAAAAAACAGCTTCATGCCTAGTTTCTTACTACCCTATTTGCTTTACAAAAGTTATAACTTACAATGATACTAGAAACAAAGGTATTTCTAACTCAATTTTTGGGGGAGAAAAATCTATAACTTTAATACATAACAAAGACTACCATGGCTGGAGCTAATTTTCTGTATTTAACCAATACCCCCTTGTCACATAACCTAACCTGACAATCTATACCAAATCTCTCTGTTCACCAGTTAGACCTTATGTAGTCAGAGGAAGAGCAGAAAATATTTTCTAAAACATCTTCAAGTATTTTGAATATATAAGAGATGCCCCTCACACTGCAAAATCTATGAATAATAATCTACAAAATTTCCCAGATTTATTTTAATCTACTTTGAAATAACATTTGACTTTTATTATACAATGAAAAATTCCAAAACGTGTACGCTGCATTTGCTGAAAGCACAGTGCAAATGGATTAAAGGCAAAAGTATAAGACATTCTCTCTAAATTATACTATCTATATAGCATATTAATATGAGAATATGGAAAAATGGCAAAAACTATCATAGAGTATTTACAGTACTTTATAGATGTATTTTTATTTTACATTACAAAAGCCTGAGTGATCTTATTTTATAAAGAAAGAAACTATGGTGGGAAAATTCATATTAACTTGTAACACTGCTAGAAAATAGTGAAGCTGTAATTCAAACCTATGTTGTCTAACTCCAAAGCTCCTTACCACCACTGTTTACTGCCTCCCAGTTCTTACCTGGCACATATATCTGTGTCCTCAATTCTAAAACCATTACAGAGTCACAAACACATATTTAAACCTATCATTAACTACAACCATTAATTTGTCAGTTTCTAAAGTAAAATCATTAAGAAATGCCTAAAAATTACTATTAAAAAATTCAAATAAGACAAAAATTTCTCATAAAATCTGAGAAATCAATAACAGAAAATCCATATAACAAATTTTTTTTAATTGAGAGTTGTTCTTACACTGATATGAACATGGTATGACCAGGAAATCATCTTGAATATTTAAAAAAACTCAATGATTGTTAAGTTTAAAGGCAGAACAAAAGAACTCATTCTTTAAAAAAAAATCACATTATATTCAATACTTAATGACTTAACTATGCATGTTATTATAATATGCTCTTTATCTGAAGTTTTTATTAGCCAAATAAGAGGGATGATAAGAGGGATGTAATCATGTTATAACTTAGACAATTTTAAACTTCTGAATGACTATTATCTCCCATATTCTAGTGTTTCAAATTTCTTTGTAAAAGTATAATGTCTGGAAAGTAAATCTGGAGTAGCATTCCTATATAGGAATTCTTCAATCCATCAGACTGAACCAAAATTTATAAATTTTTATATGCACATGAAATAGTTTAAAATAGCATATTTTCCTATTATTCATCAAACACATTAGATGACAGGGTAATATCATTTTCTGAGATATGTTAAAGGACAGATCAAGTCTTACCTCCATTGCTAAAGCTGCTGTCTGTTGGTCATAATGATTCAGAAGGTTAGGCATGAAGGTAGTGTTATAAGGCAAATCCTGGCACATCCTCAACGTAATAGGTTCACAAGAAAACAAACTGTGCCCACTTATATGCCCCACAAACATAGTCAAGAGCCAAAGAGAGAAGACCATCCAACTCATAGCCATTCTTCCTTGATCTGAATGAAATTCAGATGATCAGGCCTACTCAGTATGTATTTTAGATCAATATACACCTGCAGGTCTCAGCTTGAAAGTACTTCTTCTATATCTTACTGTTAAGTTCTTCAAAAGTTAAATACTCTTTGTACCATCAGAGGTTTGTTAGCTTGGTCTCACAAAAGGCATTTGTTTTTGGTTTCACAACACAGGCAAATGACATCATCTTGTCTCTTCTTTTCGTTTTATTACATAGGGCACATTTGGCCAACATATCAAGTTGATCAACCACATTCCCAAATCACAGATTCCATCTTAGGAGAAGAGCTATTTCTTCCTTTGATTGAAATATCTGAAAGAATTATTTAAAAAATGGGAGAAATTAGTCACTTCCTCTCAAAATATTGTGCACTTAACATTAAAATGTTTGTTTAGACATCATACTGATCTAATAGATAAAATCACGGGTACCTCACAAAAATACAATATAGCTTTTCTACTTTATCATTTGTGCTATAGATATGCTAAAACTGTCCTCAAATAGCATTTAACAAACAAATTTGATTTTCTTCCTTCAGTTGCTTATAGAAACACATGGTTTAACTTCTTGTCCATAGAGGCGATCTTTCATTTGTCTCAAGATATAACGGATTCACTTTAAAAAATTCTTATGCATTTGTCCTAAGTTTTATTTAAACATTTGTTGTAACCTAAATAATTGAATTTAAAATTTATTATGTGTTTTAATCATTAATAGTACAGTTTTTACATGAACTGATTTGGCAGAAGGGATCTGTGAAAGGTTTGAAAAATAAAACAAAAGATAAATTTAAGCCTCTTATAACTATGTGAACATAACATATCATTTAACGTCTATGAACCCATAATTTTTCTTCCTGGAAATGTTCCACCACCACTTTTCTTACAAGATGATATATGAGTGAATTATGAGATAATGCATGCAAAAGTACTTTATAAATAGTAAAACATTATAAAACATTAGGTATTTTTATTACTGAATTACAGTTGATTAAGATGCTACCTCTCGGGCTGGGGATGTGGCTCAAGCGGTAGCACACTTGCCTGGCATGCGTGCGGCCCGGGTTCAATCCTCAGCACCACATATAAACAAAGATGTTGTGTCCGCCAAAAACTAAAAAATAAATATTAAAATTCTCTCTCTAAAAAAAAAAAAAGATGCTACCTCTATCAACCAATAATGAACTGACAAATAGAAGGTTCTAAAAGTAATATGAGTAATTTTCTCAACACTATATCATCTTTTTAGATAGCACAAAAATTTAAAACCAGAGATACAGACCTTGAATTACAAACATTTAATGAACAGCCATTACACACGGCCAGGCTCCAGAGAACAGAAATCATCCCTAAAATAGGAATGATTCCCAGTTATCATTTCCACTGAGCTTTAGAATCTCTTGACTTTGCCTCTACTTTCCCAAGGTGACAATACATGTGATGCTCAACTGGTGCTGAAAACAATGTGCATGGAGCAAGTGTGGTATGAAAAAAGCATATTCTAAGCTATTCACATTTGATTTGGTTTAGCAATGATGCTAACTTTGTTTTCATTAAATTTTGTTTCTTATGCACTGGATATTCTTGTGTTTCTTATAGGCAGCCAAAGTTAAGAAAAGATGAGAAATTCAGATTCAGATATTCCTAGAGACTCAGGTTAACAGGACAACTAAAATACTAACTCAAATAGCCATGAGAGCTTACAATTTGAGACCTAAAAACCAGCTTAGCTTGAGCAGTGAAAGAATTTGTCCTTCAGCACTGATTATCAATGCTTGGGACCTCTGTATCGCCAGCTCCAGGTAGAAAAGTATTTGGAGAAAACAAAACAGTGGCTCAATCTTCCAAATTTCTAGAAGATGGTCTTAAATGATGGAAGGGAAAAGGAAGTCTTTGGTCTCTAGAATTAGATACACTAAGGTTGTTTAAGGTCCTGCTCAAAAAGTCTAAATCTCTTTATACTTTAAGCCAGAGATTTCTGTGACAGATTCTTGGTCTTTTTTTTTTTTCTTTCTCTCCTTTAAGATAATCCCAGAAATGTTGAGATCTGGCTACAGAAAAACTGATATTAAACATAAAAACATGTTTAAGCTTAATTACCTCGAAGCATGGTACTGATTATGCATATTATTAATTGTCAAATAATTGTTGAAAGCTTTATTTGATTATAGATTAAAACATCTATGTAAGTTCAGTCTTTGTAGTTTATTGCCTGTGCAGCATGTTTATCTACTTGCAAGTAAAAAAAAAAAAAATTAAGGGAACATTGCTCCCTATTGGCTATAAATACTACAAAACCAAGAATTTCAACATTTCATTTAAACTAGTCTCTTTTTTAAGCATTTATGGGTTCATATGGTTAAAAGAAGACTAATTACATAAAATTTGAGGAAGAAATTAAGTAATACCTTTTTGCATTTTTAAAACCACATGAAATACGTCCTTATTCTTCTACTTACTTCATTTATTTTACTTGATTTCTTCTCAATTATTCCTTTTGCCTTACTTGTAAGCGATGCTTCTGACCTTCTTCTTCTTTTTTAAAATATTTTTTTAGTTGTAGATGGACACATTCCTTTATTTATTTTTATGTGGTGCTGAGAATCGAAGCCAGTGCCTCACACATGCTAGGCAAATATGCTCTACCACTGAGCCACAATCCCAGCCCAGCTTCATGTGGGCTTATGTGTTTCCTTATGTATTACAATGTCCAAATCACTTACATAAAAATGCTTTTTAGAATTTCTTTTATTTTTTAACTTATATATTTTATTTTTTAGTTTTTAGTACTAGGTATTAAATCCAGGGGCACTATTACTGACCCTTTCTTAAAAATTTTTATTTTGAGACAAAATTGTCCAGGCTGGCCTTGAACTTGTGATCTTCTTGCCTCAGCCTTCAAATAGCTGGGATTACAGGGATGCACCACTGCACCCAGTTTCAAAATACTTTTGCAAATCTTTAAAACTACAGAAAGACAATAATCTTAATATGGTAAGACTGTAGTTCATGATTATTACAAAGGGGTGGAGGGAACAGTGGAATGCAGTGAGAAAAAAGCAAATAGGCAGATTAAAGATCTTAGTAAAGAATTTTCATTACATTAATACATTAATAATAAAGAATGCAAGCATGAGATAATGTTTTTTTGCTAATCAAATGGGCAAAAATAAACACAATACAGGAGAGAGTATAAGGAAAAGAAATTTTCAACTACTTTCAAAAGCAATGTAAATTAATTGACACTTTAAGAAATGACTACTTATATTAAAAGTACTTAAAATGTACATAATTTGATTCAGCAAATCTATTTTATAATTTATTCTAAGAAGATAAACACATGAGTATAAGCTGAGCATGGCGGCACATGCCTATAATCCCAGTGGCTCAGGAGGCTGAGACAGGAGAATCACAAGTTCAAAGTCAGCCTCAGTAACTGGCGAGGCGCTAAGGAACTCAGTGAGACGTCTCTAATAAAATACAAATAGGGCTGGGGATATGGCCCAGTAATCAAGTACCTGGAGTTCAATCCCTGGTACCAAAAAAAAAACAAACAAACAAAAAAAAAAACCCAAACACACGAGTGCACGATGCGAAATTAAATTTTATCATAACACTGTTTACAACAAAAACTGTAAACAGGGGCTGGGGTTGTGGCTCAGCGGTACAGCGCTTGCCTAGAGCGTGTGAGGTCCTGGGTTTGATCCTCAGCACTGCATAAAAATAAATAAATAAAACAAAGGTATTAAAAGTAAACAACCTTAGAGTCTACCAATAAGGAATTAACCAAGGGCTGGGGATATGGCTCAAGCGGTAGTGCACTCGCCTGGCATGCGTGTGGCCTGGGTTCGATCCTCAGCACCACGTACAAACAAAGATGTTGTGTCCGCTGAAAAATAAATAAATATTAAAAATTCTCTCTCTCTCTCAAAAAAAAAAAAAAAAAGGAATTAACCAAATAAATTATGTTATAATTGCATAATAGAATATTATATAGTTACTAAAAATAAAGAGCCTGACTGCAGTATGTTATTTAATATGAGCAAGGTCTTATGTTAAATCCCCAGCACTAGTACTCCCCAACAAAAAAGATAGACCTATATTTATTGACATGATAATATTATGACAATGAGTAAAAAATAAATAAAAAGTAGTTTACAAAACATATATATACATGTACATATATACATATAAAACCCATTTTGTTAGAAAAATATGTGCATGGACTATAATAAAACTATTTCAATTATTTAAAAATAATATACAGTAGAATGAATGTGCATATATGATTACATGACCAGTGTAATTTTATATCATGTACAATCAGAAGAATGAGAGGTTATAGTCCGTTTATGTATGATATGTCAAAATGCATTCTAATGTCATGCATAACTAATTAGAACAAATAAAAAATTTTACCTGAATAATATAAATGCTCTATGTAATTTTATAAAAGAATCCATGTTACATTATTTCATATATGGAATAATTAACTGCAAAATCTATAAATGTGTTCTGACTAGCTGACAAGAATAAATACTAGCTGAATAGATTATTGGTTGCTAATTAAAGCCATAAGCCAAGGTACACACTACCTGTCCTACTATGGGTAATAAGCAAAATTGTGATGATCAATTCAGTATGATTCAAAACTTTTATTTTTCAACACTGGAAAAAAGTCAGATCACCTATTAACTAAATCAAATGGAATACACATTATTAAAAACTTCTCATACATATTTCAAATTGTTCCTCAATAACATAATGAAATAACTGCTTCTAATGAGGATTATATGAGTATGCCACTTTTCCTAAGGGATGGTCATCCATGAAAAAGCTCTAAATTAAAGTTCCAGACCTATAAGACACAGAGAAGATTCTGGACCCAAAAAGATCTTGCCAAAATATAGCAACTCATTAATAGCTGTTTAGGGCTTTCTTACTGATATTATCATATTCTTAAATTTCGGAAATCTGTAGCATTTCAATTGAATAAAGGGACCTACTGGGTTAATAAAACCCAAGCGAACAATTTCAGGCATCAAGGGCCAGGCAAAAATGAATGCTATAAACCAGGTAAGGTGGTATATGCCTCAAATCCCAGCAATTGGGAGGCTGAGGCAGGAGGATCACAAATTCAAGGCCAGCCTTAGCAACTCATCATGACCTTCAACAACTTACCAAGACCCTATCTCAAAATTAAAAGTAAAAAGAGGTAAGGATGTAACTCAGTGAGTAAAGTGCCCTTGGGTTCAATACCCCAGCACACCCCACCCCACCCCCCCAAAAAAGAAAAGAAAAAGTGAATGCTGTGACAATAATTGGTCATGAACTAGCTATGGAAAAAGAGACATTTTTACTTCTCCACAGAACAATATAAAATATGTTGAAAACTATTAAGTTACTTGGTTAACATCACATCAGAAAATAAAAAGGACTACAGTTGGGCATGTAGCTCAGAGGTATAGGGGCTTGTCTAGAACGTACAAATCCCTGGGATTATTTCCCATCGCAGTGAGGGGAGAGAAAGAAAGAAAAAAAAAAAGAAACGACTAGATACTTTAAACCTATGTGTTCCTATTTTTATGAATGTTAACATCAGGAATCTGATATTCCCCAATTATCTATCAGTTTTCTTTTGATGATTAAAAAGTAAAAGCTCCATATTGGTCAAATTATATTATTATGTTTTATGCATGAACAAATATATAACAACAAATCTCATCATTATGTGCAGCTATAAAGCAATTTGTGCACCAATAAAAAAAAAATGGGGAAAAAGAAAACCCTTAAAATAAGATCAGCTAAATATTTGTCCTGAAGGACAGCAATAAATGCAACTTTGGAAGACCATCTTCCAGGGTGGCAACAAAGCCATACCCAAAGAACTCATGTGGGAAAAGCAAGAGGTAGCAACTGTGAAGGGGAAAGCAGGCTGAATCCCCGAAGAAACTATGAGAAAAGTGGACCCTAAGGGTACGTCAAGGATGTCTGGCAACAAAAGACTATGTTCAGCAAGGCTATTTCAACAACAATTTCTTTAAAGAAAGGGACCCATTTCATCATTCTTGGTTTAGATTTCATTTTCCTGACACCCTGTAAATACAGGTAAAATTTTTCATTTTTAATTCAGAAATATCAGCCAAAGTTTGTCTCAAAGTAAATGTTGAATTCACAATAGCTACCATGGGAAAAGGAAAGATATTGTCTTTCAGACAGGTTTTCTAAGAATGCATTACAAGGATTGGCAATGACTACCTCTAAATAATAGTTTCTTCTCTGAAGGATTTTATTGTCTTATTAGAAAGTTTACATAGCTTCATTACTTAATTCATAGAATGTAGATTCCTATTAATCTCACAGTGAATATTCTTTTCTGACCTACCTACTACACTTAATTTTTGAAGTCCATCTTGTCATCTGATTACAACAATCTAATTTTTCAATCCCCATGAAAAACAAATACATTTAAGATTCAGAATTAAAATAAATGGTATGCACCAAAATGCAGTCCCATTTACAAATTATTAAATGCAAAGACTGAAGACAGCATAGGAGCTTTTAAAATTAATCTGAAAATAAACTAAGTTAAAAGATGGATAGATTGGGCTGGGGATGTGGCTCAAGCGGTAGCGCGCTCGCCTGGCATGCGTGCGGCCCGGGTTCGATCCTCAGCACCACATACAAACAAAGATGTTGTGTCTGCTGAAAACTAAAAAATAAATAAATAAATATTTAAAAAAAAAAAAAAAAAAAAAAAAAGATGGATAGATTCTGGTCTAAAAAAAAAAGGGTTGAAATTCTAGCCCAGCTTCCTTTGCAATTAAAATCTGTTCATCAGAAAATTCTTAGAATTTTCATTAGAAAGTATCAAGTCCCTGCTTCCTCCTCCTTAGCAAGGTTGGACGGTTTGTATGCCCTGCTTAAAAAAGTATTTCAGTTAAGATAACATTTGAGGATCAGATTTTTTTGTTATGCTTAGTTGCCCAGTTATAGTCATCTCATATTTCATTTGCAATGCATTTCTTGGGGCACCAAACTTTCAATAGTTTACCAAACTTTCACTAGTTCTCAGTATAATTAACTAGAACGCCAAATGAGGGAATTCCTTTTTGTCACAATAGTTAAAACTCTTTCCTAGCCAGTAAAGAGCTGTTACTCTTCAAACATTTATTCATACCCTTAAGAAATACCACTTCTGAAAACCTTATTTTCTTTTCTCAAAACTTGGATGAGCATCTTTTCACCAATCTAGACTGAAAAATTTCTCCAGTGTGTATTTTTTAAAATATTTTTTTTAGTTGTAGATGGACACAATATCTTTATTTTTATTTATTTAGTGTGGTGCTGAGGATGGAATCCAGGGCCTCACTCTACCACTGAGCCACAATCCCAGCCCTCCAGTATGTATTTTTGAAGTCATTTTTAAAAATATGCCTTATTGCTTTTTTTGTACAGAGCTGTAGCTTTAAGCAGCCATAATTCTAGAGTTTGGGCGGGGGTAAAAACAAAAAAACAAAAACCTTGAGGATAACGCCATTCTCCCCTACTAAAGAGGTTTTCGGCCTCCTGTCTCCTGAAGAAAATAAAGTCAATAACAATCTTACATCAATGAACCAACAGCTCAAGATGTTTTGAGTATAAAATCTTATATTTTTACTAACTAATATGAAATGTAAATTGGGT